CAGCTATTGAGGCTGCAAAACACACAAAAAGATTTGATGTCTCCACAGTACTTGTGCTCCACCGCATCTTAAGTTGCAACAAAGGCTGACGTCAACATCTGGCGTCGCTGCGAACAGGACGCAAACGCACAGGCGAACTTTCACGATACGTGCAAGCACTGAGTGCGTGTGTGCCATCTCCAGGAGTCCCCAAGACTCGCGCATTAACAACGCGTACTTGCTGGGAGGTCAGTAGCCTGCATGCGCCTCTTACGATGACATGTTTCTCTTCAGCGCTGTATATGTGCCACTGTGAAGGAATGACAGTAGGTTTTCGCGTCGGATTGTAATGTCCAACAGAACGAACAACAGGCAGTTACTCGGATAGTTCATTATCACACAAGCCAGCAGTCTGATGCCTGCACTGCATACAGCTGCAAGTGCATACGCCGGGACATTCAAATTTCCGATTGGGTGCACGAGTGATGCCTTTACAGGCTTTAGAGCTATCTTGTCCCATCACAAAACAGCCAGCAAAACCAACAGCTGCAGGATATATGGGCAAATGCTCTCTTCATCGCGCGCTGCATGCTTTTGTAAGAAGCTATGCGAGACCCATGAGAGACATGATTTTGGGAAGCCTGACAGTCAGTCACAGCCCTCTGCAACGACTGCAGCCCTGCAAACCACAATACAAAGAGCTCTGCCACAACGCCCCCGTCATTTCGGTCCCAAAAGTGATCTCCTACAATGTCTCGAACTTCCCTTCATCACGTCGCAACAACCGCTCAACGAATACAACTGCACAACACCTCGACCTTTACAAGCCAAACCGTTTCATTCATAGTCAGGTGCTTGAACAAGCTTGATGCGCGGCATAGAAAAGCAAATATTCGTCTGAAGCTAGAACATTTTCTTCATCCTAACCTGGGCCGGCGCCGAACTGCAACATGTTCCCAGACGGCACGAAATGCGCATTAATTGGACATTTACTGCTCGCCGTGTATTTGTTTGTCTTCTTTGGTGCTTTTGGCGCAAAGTCGGCGCACCCTACTTCAGGCACTCAGAGGCTACGCCCAGGAACTTTAGCATCATCGATAGACGCAGCCTGTCACAACCGGTCGCAGCTCCAATGCAACAAGCGCAGCCTACCTGACGAGGATGATAAATGAATGTTACTCTTTCACTCCTCAGGACTCCTCGTTGTTCGCTGCAGGTGAAACATAAATCTGCCACGCGAAACTCCAAATACCATTGCCCTTTTCAAGCAGCTTCTTCGTGCGGACAGCTATTGAGACTGCAAAACACACAAAAAAATTTGATGTCCCCACAGTACTTGTGCTCCACCGCATCTTAAGTTTGCAACAAAGCCTCGGGTGAATATCTGGCGCCGCTGCGAGTGGAAAGTAAACGCAAAGGCTGCAATCCCACTTCACACTGGAACAACGGAAGCGTCGCCGTTATCTTCATGACTCCCAACTACTTTCTCATTAAGACAACGTACCCACCTGCGGTTCATCACGCACCACGCTTACTTGGTCGCCTCATAGAATTTTGACGTCCAATAACAAGCGAAAACAAGCAGTTTTCCAAACAGTTCGTATGCGCGCAAAACGAGATGAGGCGCCTACCCTGTGTCCAGCTACAAGTGCATGCGCCGAGGGTTCTCAAATTCCGCATCGGTGCGACTGTGGTGTCTCGAGCTACGTTGGGCTTTTGAGCGAAGGCCAGCGAAGCCGGAAACTGCACTTTAGCTGGGCCGGTGCTCTCTTTATCGTATGCTGCATGCATGTTTGAGGAGCTTAGCCAAATCCATGGGCGAGACAATTTCGGAAACCCTGGGTGAATCACACGCTTTGGGGACGACCCCAGTGCAGCAGGCCACAATACAAAAAAGACATCGACGCAACGACCGCCTCACTCCGGCCCCAAAATTTATCCCAGGCGCTATGTTTTTCCCAGTTCCCTTCATACAAAAAAGACATCGACGCAACGACCGCCTCACTCCGGCCCCAAAATTTATCCCAGGCGCTATGTTTTTCCCAGTTCCCTTCAGCACTTCGCAACGATAGCTCAGCGAATACAACTGCGCATCAACTTGACTTCGCGTGAAACAAATCCGTCCATATTCATCGTCAGGCGCTTCAAGAAACTTGATACACTGCATAGAAAAGTAAATATTCGTCTGAAACTAACGCGTTTCTTCACCATAATTGCGG